CATGAAGGGAAAATCTAAGACTGTTTTTGAGTGTGGGCTTTTGTTTGTTTGGTTGGTTTGTTTAGTTATTGGATTTTTTTGTGAAGGAAATATAAGTTTAGAAAATTCATCATTTTAATTCATTGCATCAAAATCAGCAGAAAATTCTCCTATCGTGAGGTAAAGACATGGAAGTGGATAAGGGCATGGTGGGCAGTATCAACCGAAGATAAAGTCCTGCAAAATTTCCAATAATACAACCATTTGTTTTATTTTTCATTGATGGTACCAGAGGAGATTAGAAGTTTGCCCATGCATGTGGCTGAGCAGATTTTATTTTCTATTGAAAGAAGTGCAAGGGCTATGCCCGACTATGAACTTACCACAAAGTTTGCTTATTTGTCCAATATCTCACCAAAATAAAAAACTCTGTTAATTCAGACACACTGGCTTAGACTACATAGACATTCCCCTGAGCCACAAAAATAATATTAAATATGCACAAAAAGAGTATCAAGCTGTAAAACATTCACTTTGAAACAACATATCTTATCTCTGCCAAATCTAAAGGTCTCACTTCAAAAAGTCAAAGTAGAGGTAAAAGGCAGCAGGGAGGGAGAAAATGTTTCAGAAGAATAACATTGCACTGAAGGAAATTAAATGGATGATGGAATGTTGTGAGGCAGTGTGGCCCTGGAGGAGAACACAGATCAATGTTTCCAGATTTAAGCCAGAAAGTGAGTTCCTAATATGCATGCATATTCGACAACAGTTTTGAGAGTTGTTCTTTATTCCTTTCTTTTTTTTTTTTTTTAAGTGTTTCAGCAACTGTGAGAGAAATATGCCGTGCCTTGAAATAACATCCCTATGTGAAGTAAATTTCAGTTTGGTATTTGCATAATGGCTACTTTAAACATTTTAATATGCCATAGAAATCAAACAGTCAATTGAGAGAAAAAATAGCATACAGGTGACATAAAACAGTGACAGAGTGAAGAGGAAAGATACTGAGATTTTCCTAACAAATTAATATTTAATAAACTACTTACATTTATTATGAATGAGCTGCAAAGTTTGCAATTTGCAAACTTACTTTTGTTTTCCAAATAAGCCAAGAAAAATTAAAGTTTTCATTGCATGGTGACACAATGACATGGAAGAAAAAGAAGTAGCTAATAAGGATAAAAATAATATCTGTATTTTCAGCACTCTAGCCTTTGACAAAATACTCATATTCCTGTATTTTCTTTGTTATAAATTGTATGGAAATCTGCAGGAAATTCTTTCTGAAAGAGAAGTATTATTGCAATTGCTGTATATGGGCCTACTACATTTGTTACAAGATCTTTGAAAGGCTCACATAATTAGTGTTTGTAAATCATGTTAGTATAATCAGAATGCAATTACAGAATTGCAAAGTGATATCATTACTATTAATATTATTATTGCCATCACATCAACACATCCATTAAAGACATACAAGATCACACCGTAATTCAATATGAATCTTTTTGACACATGAACTAACCATTTCAGTTTTTTCTGTTGCAATTGATTATGAGAGCTGGAATGACAATGAAAGGCCTGGTGTAGTATTATGGTGCATACTTTTATGGAAACTTCTCACATATTGAGTGGAATAGTGGTTGCAGTTTGTTCATGCACTCTACTGATAGAAAAAATGGTGTTATCTTCACTGTTTATGAAATAGAACTCTTATCCACACCTATTTTAAAAGGCAAAAACACAAGTACAATCCTATCATCCTCATATTATTTGTCTGTGTCAAATTATGTAAGTTTGTAGAAGACTATTTAACTGTAGCATTCTTAAGAACATAGAAATTTGATGTGAGTGCCGTATCACAAAACAGAGGAAAAAACAGCCTTTCTTTACAACATGGGTCTGCATTGTCCAGACCTTGGTCTTGGAAAAAGGAGTTCTTTTTAAGAGCTTGTCACCTGTATGCAATGTCTTTGGCCTGATTGAACTAACAGCACATTTCTGTGGTCACCAGCAGTAAAAAGTCAACACAATGGGATATACATGCATCAGTGCTTGAGGCACAGAATTGATTGATATGATAGCTGTCCCCAGGGTATTACCCTTACCTAAGGCAAGATTGGCTATTTCTGCATAATTTCTGATAGACATCTAATTTGTTTTAAAGACACTTGATATTGCAAAATTCAAGCCCACTTTTTTATCCTGCAATCTATTTGGGATTTGGGATCTACTTGTGATGAAGAATTGTACTTAATGCTGAAGCAAAGTTATCTTTGCTGCAATTTAAGATAGCAACTACTTCTATTCACTAAGGCTATTCTAAAATATTGAGTTTTATCTACAAATTTGCTGTTATAGTCAATCATGATCCATCTAGTGCATATGGTGTCTTCTTCCCACCATCTTTATTAAACAGCATGGTGGGGTTTTGCATCAGTTTGGTAGCTGAGTGCCATTATTCTCTTCTGACAGACTAAATTTTTAACTCAGTTTGATCATAACTTTTATTATACAAACTCTGTCAAATGCATCAAGCATTTAGGCTTCCTGCACCCAAGGGAACCTTGAAGAATTTCTCAGAAGTAACACACATTGCTTTGACTTGCTTATTTTCAATAAATCCTTGATGGATGCTGATAATTTCCTTATTCCTTTGTGGTTTTATATGCCACTGTTTATGTGCTCCATCATTTTTCTTAGATCTTAAATTACAATGCCCAGAATACATATATAAGAAAATATATATTCTTAAATAAATAGGGGTATTTGTATTTATATTTCCAGACCTTCTCAGACTTAATGACAGATTAGATTTCTTTTAAAGACAGAAAGATTTCTTACATACTGTCTTAAATATATTTGCTTTGATTGAGTAGTTTGACTTTTTCTGACCCTTGGATATTATTCCATTGATGCTCAAGAAATATTAGTGTTTCCTACCTTTTAATCAAAAAACTGAGAGATTTTTTTTCATAGCATCACAGAAAAACTGAATCATTAATGTTGCAAAAGAACTCCAAGGTCACCAAGTCCAACCTGTGACTGAATATCACCTGGTCAACCTGACCAAGGACTGAGTGCCATGTCCATTTGTTTCTTGAACACCTCTAGGGATAGCGACTCCATCAGCTGCCTGGGCAGCCCCTTTCTAACACTTAGCAACTATTTCTGTGAAGAAATTCTCACTCTGTACAACCTGAACTTCCCCTGGAGCAGCTTAAGGCCATTTCCTCTTGTCTTATTTCTAGTTGCCTGTAAGCAGGCCCCAGTCTCCCCTGGGCTGTCCCCTCCTGTCAGGAAGTTGAGCAGAGCCAGAAGGTCCTCCCTGAGCTCCCTTTTCTCCAGGCTGAGTCCTCCCATCTACCACAGCCACCCCTTATATTGCTTGGTCTCTAGATCCTTCCTCAGCTACAGCCCATCAATATCTTTCAAGTAGTGAGGGCCCCAGAACTGAGCACAGAATTTGAGGTGTAGCCTCACCTGTTCAATCACTGCCCTGGTCCTGCTGGGCACGCTACTTTGATAACAAGTCAGGAAGTCATTGGCCTCTTGCCCACCTGGGCACCCTGAGCTCATGTCCAGCTGCTGGCACCAGCACCCCAGGCTTTTCCCAAAGGGTCCTTTACCTTTCCAGCCCCTCTGCTCCAGCCTGGATTGGTGAGACCCAAGAGTAAGACCCAACACTTGACTGTGGTGCCCCTCACACCATTGGCCCATGGATCCAGCCTGTGCAGCTCCCTCTGCAGGGCCTTCCTGCCCACCAGCAGATCCACACTCCCGCCCAGCTTGGTGTCCTCCATGAATTTACCATGGGTAGACTTGATCCCCTCATCCAGATCCCCAGTAAAGATTTTAAACAGGGTTGGTCCCAGCACTGGGAACACCATGGTGGCCAGCTCCTAGCTGGATGTGGCCCCATCCCCACCACCCTCTGGGCCAGGCAATCAGCCAGTTCCTAGCCCAGAGAGAATGAACCTGTCCAGGCCTGGAGCTGCAGCTTTTCCAGGAGATGCCATGGGAGATGGTGTCAAAGGCATTGCTGGAGTCAGGCAGACACAGCCACAGCCTGTCCCTCATCCACCAGGCAGGTCACCTGCTCATCAGAGGCCAGGTGGGTCAGGAAAAGCCTTCTTTTTCTAAATGCATGTGAAACTTTTTGGTGAACATATTTTCAAGAATGACATAATGCAACCTGGCTGTCTTCATCAATCTGTAATTTATTTCTTTCTCTGTTACAAGACTTCTCCTTGGTATACTGTTTGTAGCTCAATAATCAATTAATTTCTTTTGCTTTCATGTTTTCATGTAACTCCACACAGTCATGAAAGACTTCCATATTTGTCTCAACTTTGTTTCCATTTTCTACATAGTTTGTTTATTCTTATGGTTTAGATTACTGATGATATGAATGCAGTTTCAATTTTTTAATTATTCCTCAAATTTCATAATAATATCTGAGTAAACATGTAATTTCTGTGGTTTCCCCCCCCTCCACGCACCCCCTCTAGGGTCCAACCAGCTCAGAGATATGGGACTGTGAGGGGAGGAATACCAGGAGAGGGAAAAGTATTCAAAAGAGGCTCTTACCCCAGGGAAGTTGGAACAGCTCTCTTTATTCTGTGGTGTCCATGTGAGAGCAGAGCAAAAAAGAGAGAGCAGGAAGTCTCAGGGGTCTATATAGGTTTTGGACAGGGTGGACTTTCCTGGCTCCCCGCCAACCCCGTTGGGGCAGGAAGGAGGATCCAGGGGTTATCTTGATCAGAGCCACAGAGGCCCGGGGGAAAGGGGGGCACAGGGTGTCCCTGAGCTCACCGTAACACCTCCCCCTTATTTGTTAAACAAGGTTGCAGGAATTCACTGGGCTCAATTTAACCCTGAGCAGGGTCCCGAACACTAGGGTTACAAAGAACAGAATAACAAAGACTAACAAAATTGATCTAACAACAGATGTCCACCACCCCATGAATCCCCATCCCTTGAACATTCTCTTCAGCATTTGCAGGATGACAACTCGCATGGGGTTCATCACAGGGTTGAGTGCGAGGTAGGTTTTCTCTAAAAGGGAAAAAAAAACATTTTAAGAACATGTTAAAGTTTCTGTTTCTGCCGGAAGGAATTCATGCCTAGGAACTTTCTTCTTCTCCCATCCGGCGGCGTCTTCTCTTTGAAGCATCAGATACTTGCTTCTTGTCCCCTTCTGTTTGACCTGGATTCTTGGGGACAAAAGGTTTCACCCACTTCTGGGGAATCCACCGAGGGCCTGAGGGAATAGCTACACATGCATAGCCACGACCCCAGGTTACAAGTCCATAGGGACCCTTGGTTTCCCAAGTTTCTGGATCCCTAATCAAGACCGGGGGATGCTGAGACAATTTGAACTGCTTGCTACTGTTAAAGTGACGCACAACCGGTGGACTCATATTTTCGAATGAACAATTCAGAAAACTGATAGTAAACATGGCTTTACAGAGCTTTTCTCGTGGAGACATCCATGGAGCTGAGCTGTTTTGTTTTTTCAATACCTGCTTGAGCGTCTGGTGTGCACGCTCGACTACAGCTTGACCTGTGGGGGAGTGGGCAATGCCAGTTTTATGTTCCACTCCCCACTGTTGGAGAAATTCCAGGAACTCCTTAGATACATACGCTGGGCCATTATCTGTCTTGATAGTTTTTGGCACCCCCAATACTGAAAATGCTTGCACTAGATGTTGTTTGACATGTGCAGCCTTTTGTCCTATATGGGCAGAGGCATACACTGCACCTGAGAATGTGTCCACACTCATATGAACGCATTCAAGGCGACCAAAACTCTGAATGTGTGTGATGTCTGTCTGCCATACCTCACAGCTGCTAAGGCCTCTGGGGTTTACCCCCGTGCCCAATGATGGCACGGCCTGGAGCTGACAATTAGGACAGTTGGTCACAATGGCTCGGGCCTGACTCCGTGTTAGCTGGAACTGTTGAATCAAACCTGGCACATTCTGGTGTTAATGCTGGTGACTCAGCTTTGCCTGCTGGAAAACATCAGGGAGACGTGCTTTTTCGACTGGTGCAGCGAAGGAGTCTGCTTTTCGGTTCCCCTCTGCAATCTCACCTGGCAAATCAGTGTGTGACCTCACATGCATCACAAAGAATGGATGCTCTCGGTGCAAGATTAAATAAATTAGCCTTGAGAGTAATCTGAAGAGATGTTCATTTTCTATTTCTCTGAGCACAGCCTGCTCCGCCCTGGACACTATACCTGCCACATAGGCAGAGTCTGTCACCAAGTTGAATGGCTCGGAAAACTTCTCAAAAGCTCTCACCACTGCAGCCAGTTCAGCCACCTGGGGGGATCCCTCCACAAGCTCAACATCAGCTTCCCAATGCTGAGTCTGTGGATTTCTCCAAGTCATCACCGACTTACGGGAAGCCCCAGAGGCATCAGTGAACACTGTGAGAGCCCTGAGTGCCCTCCGGCTCCTTTTCTCTTGAGGAATCAGGTGGAATTCCTCATTGAACAACTTGTGAGACGGGGCATGGACTGATATTTGTCCCCTATAGCTGTCCAGAGATAGCTGGAGACTGGCACTGCTCTGGAGCAAATGCTCAAACATCCCTTTTGTCAGCCTCTCAGGAGAGTTCCTTCCCTCCTCAGAAAGCCTTACTGGAAGGTGAATACATGCAAAGTCACACCCTGCTAATTCACACAACCTCACCCTGGCCTTCTGAATCAGCTTTGCTATCAGCTCTTGTGGCCTAGTGATGGTTTTGGATCTTTGGAGCGATAGGAAAACCCATTCTATGATTAAGAGTGGGTCCTTCTGCCCCTTGATCCATTGGAAAATCAACCCGTGCAGGTGTGGCGGCTTTCCTAGAACAATGAACTGGAAAGGCAGATTTGGGTCACACCGATGTGCCTGCCTTTCTGACAAGGCCTTCTGTACCTTTTCGATTGCTGTCTTTGCCTCTGGAGTCAGTTCCCTGGGGAAGGCCAGCTCCCTCTCCCCCTTCAATAAATTGAAAAGAGGTTCCAGATCTTCATTTGTGAGGCCTAGCCAGGGCCTTACCCAATTTAAAGACCCACACAGCGAGTGGAGGTCTGCTAATGTTCTGGGGTTGCAATTTATCTCCAATTTCTATGGGACAATAGTCCTTGCAGAAATTTCCAGGCCCAGGTATCTCCAAGGTGGCATTCTTTGAACCTTGTTTTCCTGCAGTTGGAATCTAACAGAGGTTAAAACTTTAACCACTAGGTCAAGCGTGTATTGGAGTATAGAGTCATTGGGAGCACACACAAGCACATCATCCATATAGTGAAGGATGATGGCATCCTTTCTCTCTGCACGTACTGGAGACAGCAGTGCTGCTACATACTGTTGGCATATGAAAGGACTGGATTTTAAACCTTGGGGCAAAACTTTCCAGTGGTAGCGTTTCATTGGGGCTTCTCTATTGACTGTGGGAACAGAGAATGCAAACCTCGGGGCATCTTCAGGGTGCAATGGAATTTGGAAGAAACAGTCCTTTATATCTAACACAGCCAATTTCCAGTCCTGGGGAAGCATAGCTGGACTCGGCATCCCTGGTTGGAGAGGTCCCATGTCCTCCACAATTTTGTTTATCTCTCTGAGGTCGTGGAGCAATCTCCATTTGTCCTTCCCAGGCTTTTTTATTACAAAGACTGGGAAATTCCAAGGGCTGTCTGTTTCTTGCAGGTGTCCTTGAGCTACCTGCTCCTCCACAAGTTTTTCAAGCGCCTCGAGTTTTTCTCTACTCAAAGGCCACTGTGCTACCCACTTTGGGGTGTTATCCAACCACTTTAACTTGTGGGCATGGCGCTCCACAGTGGCTACTTCTGAAAATCCTGGGGTGTCTTAGGAATGATTAACTGGACTCCCCACTGGGACATGGTGTCTTTCCCCCACAGAGGAGCCTTATAGTCTGCCACAAACGGGCGAACACTTGCTGATTTCCCGTCAGGTCCCTCAATTTGCACTACATTTTTAGAAATTTTTGCCAATGTAGTTCCTCCTATACCCTGAAGTTTGCCTGCCACAGGTTGCAATTCCCAGTGTGATGGCCACATGGTTTTGGGTATCACTGTGATGTCTGCACCTGTGTCCAGAACACCTTCCACCTGAAGGTGCTCTGACCCATGTGCTAGGTTGCATGCCATGGACGGTTTATCCTCTCCTACTACTTCTGCCCAGTAGACTTCTGGAGATTTTCCTTCTACTGTGATTTCTACTGGGATGGGAATGGCTTGTGCCAGAATTTGCCCCTTTTCTAGATAGAATGGAGGGTGCAAGCAATGTGCCAACAGCATAAGGCTGGATATTTTCCCCTTAGTAGTCATGGGAACTATTTCAATCTCTGGAGGTGTGTATGCTGTGTCCCCAATAACAAAATACTCACTGTCCAGCTCCATATCGTACGCCTGCAGGTCTTGTGGGCTCTGTGACAGGTCCACTACAATAACTTTCCAATCAGTGGATCTGAAATGAAATCCTTTGGCAGTCACTAGACGAGGTCGGCCTAGTGGCTGCCAAACCTTGTTAGTAATACATTTTTATTTTTTTCTCCCCCCCCCCCCATGGTTCCCACCCTCCCCCTTATTTGTTAAGAGGGAGGTATTGTCACATTTGTGTCCTGCTATATTTATATCTTTGCGCGTAGCAGTAGGCACGCGCTGTGCACTCAGTTTTTTTGTTTGTTGATCTGTCTCTGGTTCTGGTTTTGAGGACAGTTTCTGGCAAAGTGTCCTGGTTTCTTGCAACGCAGGCAGATGATTTGTTGCAGGTGTTGTGATGATCTGGGTGGCTTCCTTGGGCTTGATGCAGCAGTGGCAACAGGCTGTAAGTCTGCTGGTGCTCTATGACTGACAGGATTATCAAGCAGCTCTGCTCTCTTGGCGCATGCTTCAATCATCTGGGCAAGACTAGGTGCTGGATCAAGAGGAAGGCTGAGAAGAATCCTACGACAGGTCTCATTGGCATTCCTCTGAGCCATTTATTTAATCAACTCTGGTTGTACCTTGGTGTTTTGCACCTGTTTTTCAACTTGGTTTCTCAAACGATCCACAAACTGTAAAAAACTCTCAGAAGGAAACTGTTTGATGCTAATATAGCTGCATTTAACTTCAGTTCCTGGTAATTGATACAGAGTCTTTTCTGCAGCAGTATAGATTTTTTCTAAAACCGATCTAGATAACAGTCTGGTTTGTTTTTCTGGACATTGTATGTCCCCTGTACCACATAAATGATCCATTGTAATAGGCTGACCATCACTGTCAATGGCTTCACTGGGTGTACGCTGTATTTCTCGCAAAACTGTTTCCAAAGCCAATTTCCACCTATTTTTCCATATGTCATATTCAGAGGATGTTAGTAAACATTCAAACAAATCAGTTATATCTTTCGGTATCATTCATTTGAATTAAGGTTGCTCTAATCATACCTTTAAAAATCTCACTAGACCTCCCAAATTCTCTCTGAACTTTACAGATTTCTGTTTTGTCTCGATATGGCAGAGGCTGGTATGTTCTGGTACCATTTCTTCTCCCTAAATAAACCACTGGAGCTACAGATGGTATAGATTCCTCGGTAGAGGCAGGGTTGTGTCCCCCTCGCGTCCCCCCCACCTCGGTGAGGGGCAGCTCACCCCCCCCCTCGGGCTGCCTGCTCCGCGGTGGAGACTCGGGCCCCGCCCTGCTGTGAGCTGCCGGGCTGCTGTGCCCTGCCCCCGCCCTGCTGTCCTAGGCGCTGGGGCTGGAAGCAGTGCAGGGGCCGGCCCCGCCCCAGTTCCCGGGGCAACACGGGGGCTGGCACTGATAAGGAGGGTGGAGTGTTGCTGTGGGAGATAAGGAGGCATCGGAGGAGGGGAGGGAGGAGGGGGCGGGGGCGGAGGGGGTGGCGGAGGGCGGGGGAAGCAAAGGAATGGGAGTGGGAGGGGGAGGGGGGGGTGGAGCGGCCAGCGCCGGTGGAAGCACATGGCCGCCGCCATTATCCGGCCGCGTGTGCTCCAGAGACGCTGCACTGCTCTCTAAGGCGACTTCCGGACTATGTTTCTCGGAAAAGCAAGGTGTCAGAGGGGAATAAGGGGTGGGTGAGGGGTTTTCAGGGCCGGGATATTGAGGAGGTGGGCAGGAGGGGGAAAAGGGAGTATTAGAACGGTGGGTCTGCGTTTGTATGCTTTTTTCTGCTTCTAAAATCTTTTTGCGTGCTTGTAAAAATAGCAGAATAAATCGAGAAACTTTATGTTCACCATTTTCGACTTTTAAAGTTAATATCTGTCCAATTTGATTCCAAAAAGAAAGCGAATTCAGTTCTTGTACAGTAAAATTTGGTATTTCTGCCTTTAGCCAGCACACAAAACGCAGGAGAAGCTTGTTAGAGAATGATACATTATTTAAATTATTGCTAAGATGTGTTAGTATACTCTTTTGTTCCAGCGACAAGTTAGTACCCATGATCTTAATCGTATCACTGGTCTAATGTCTACCAGAGTTAATAACACAGCACGAATTATTCGAATTTCCCTCCGTGGAAACCTGAGCAGGGGGGGCACAGGGGGGAGGGGCGCTCGTCCCGCCGCTGCCAGAGCGGCTCCAACCCCCTCCTCCCGTGTCTTTTCCCCCTGGAACGTGGGTATGCTCAGCCCACTGGTTCGACGCTGACTTGCAGAGGGTCCCTGGCACCCCCTCTCGCAAGCAGCCTCCCGCAGCCACTATGGTCAGTCCTCCCAGCCAGGCGCGGTCCCGGGTACCATGAACGGAGAGCTCACCAAGCTGTGAACTGCAGGGTTTGTCTGTGAAACCTTCTGGGGGTTCCCTCTGTAGTCGGCTCTCCTGGGGTACTCAGGCAGAGGTCCCCGACTTGCCCCTGTCACTCAAAAGCCTTTAAAGGCAGCTAGAGTACAAGGGCAGTTGACTGTCTCAAAAGCTGTTGAATTCCACTGAAATAGGGGGTCCAGCTTCTTCGTGGGCTCAGAGCAGCACACGTTAGGGCGCCAACTGTAATTTCTGTGGTTTTCCCCCCCTTCACGCAGCCCCCTCTAGGGTCCGACCAGCTCAGAGATATGGGACTGTGAGGGGAGGAATACCAGGAGAGGGAAAAGTATTCAAAAGAGGCTCTTACCCCAGGGAAGTTGGAACAGCTCTCTTTATTCTGTGGTGTCCATGTGAGAGCAGAGCAAAAAAGAGAGAGCAGGAAGTTTCAGGGGTCTATATAGGTTTTGGACAGGGTGGACTTTCCTGGCTCCCCGCCAACCCCGTTGGGGCAGGAAGGAGGATCCAGGGGTTATCTTGATCAGAGCCACAGAGGCCCGGGGGAAAGGGGGGCACAGGGTGTCCCTGAGCTCACCGTAACATAAACATTCATTATTATTTACAAAAATTGCCTTGCTTATACATATTTTTCCCATTTTCTCAACCTCTCCATAACTCTATTTACGAAGTTTAACAAAATCCCTCTTGAAGAAAAAAAAAAAAAATTCAGTTTCTTCTTAATTGTTTTTCCTATTCTACCTCTGGTACAAATGTTTTAAATTTCCTTTTACAACTAAGTATTTGGGTGTTCTTGCCATTTACTTACAAAAGAAACTATGATTTATTCACTCTTTCTAATCAAATGCTGCCCAGCAGGAGGACACCTGTGTTCCCTCTCTCCTTCAGTCACTAGCAATAAACCTTCAGTAGTCTGTTACTCTCTGTAGATGAAGCTCAGGAAAAGACATCTGCTATCCACAGATAAAGCAATACCTTTAACGATGTGGTAGAAATAAGTGAATCTGGAGGGTCTGCTCTCTTAAAGATGAGCATGACAAAAAATTTATGAACATTTTAATCTAAGTCCTGGTGTGATGGATCAGAAAAATAAAATAAGAAAACTCCTGTTGCATAAGACAAAATAATAAGGAAATCCTCAACCTCCCTTTTGCTGGACAGGTCAGGACCTGTCACTTGTATGCTCAGTTCACTTATTTGCAGTGCTATACAGATTTGCTATGAATTTTTCTATACAATGTATTGTCCTGCAGACACTGATCCTTCTCCCTCATGGATCATCTTTAGCCCACATATTCTAGAAGATGATCCCAATGTGAAGAGTTTCTGTCTGCCCAATCACAGCTGGTCTTAGGAAATAATTTTTTTTCTCCTTTTAAAGAGATCTATTTAACCACAGGATGCACCAGTGAAGGATAAGACAAACATTCACAGCCCTTCTAGCAAAAGAGGACAAAGCCAAATGTGATTTTAGTGGCTGGGTTTTTAGGAACAACAGAAGTTTAACTCCTGACTCTATTAGTCACTCTTCTAGAGATCCGTGTGACTTTTGAGCTGTGCAATGCCATTTTTAATATTGTCAGCCAGTCACGGAAACGATTTGATGGGATCCCTCTTGATGATCCCAACCTCCTACTGAGCTTACTAGGCCACACTTTAATGCTGTTTGATTTTATTTTACCATCTTTCCTGTAAGAGGAGAGTTTGGCTCCACTGTCTCTGTAACTGCTTCTTGGCTGTCTGCAGGTTCCTGAACATGTTGGCTGTGACTCTGGAATGGACATCTTTTTTCTCTCTTATTGATACTGAATCCTTAAAGGTAATCACAACAATAGTGTGATTTTGATCTCAAATTCCTGCTTCCTTAAGGCTGGAGCATTATCATTGGAATGTTCCTAGACCAGCTTCCTCTGTGTAGTGTGCTTAATTCCTTTACTGATGTCACTCAAGAGAGTCTGGACCAGGCCACTCTGTTTTGCAGGAAGCAGTAAGAGGGTCTAGCCATGGATGTAAAACAGGTATTTGCCTTGTTTTCATGACAGACTAAAGATTATGATTCATTCTATTTACTAGCATAAAGTCAAAAATGCCTGCTGAATCATCTTTGCTGAATATGCAGGGGGTTGGGAATTTGACATGCATTAAACAACCTTGAATGAAAAAAGAATGCTGCTGCCAGGCCACATTCTCACAATGCACATTTTTTGTAATCTGAGCATGTTCTGAACAAGATGCTCCTGTCAATCTACTGGTATTTAAAGCAAATCAGCCTTAAAGCTTCATCAGTATTAATTACAAAACTCTGGAAGCATTAACTGCTGCTGCTCTTTGGATGTACTTGCAGCAAATATTTAGGACATTTGCCATGTTTATCTGGGCAGACACACTAAAATTAACTAGGTATCTTCCAGTGAAATTCCTAAATATACACTAAGTGATAAAATTAATAATTGAACTATATGTATTGCTGATTAGTGGTCACCCTTTTTCTTTATGGATGCAGGACAACACAAAAGTTGAGACCAGAGAAGGTGAATAAAGCTGAAGTTTCTAGAGGGTAAATCCTGTGAGGAGCAGCAAACAGAGCTGGGGTTGTTCAATCTGGAGAAAAGGAGGCTCCAGGAGGCCTTCTAGCTCTCCACAATTCCCTGAAAAAGGGTGCAGCCAGGGGAGATTGGGCTCTGCTCCCAGGGAAAAAGGGACAGGATAAGAGGACATAAACTCATTACACCATGATAGATTCTGGTTGAGCACCATGAGGAATTTCTCCAGAGAAAAGGTTAATAAATATTAGAAGCTGCCCAGGGAGGTGGTGGAGTCCCCCCATCCTGAAAGTTTCTAGGGAATGGCTGGATGAGCCACTCAGTGCTCTGGTGTGGGTGACAAGATGGGGATTAGTCATAGGTTGGACTCAATGATCCTGAAGATCTTTTCCAACCTTAATGATTCTGTGAAAAGTACAACTTAGCCACCATTAATTATCAAGTCACAAAATAACAGAATGATGTTCATTTTATATGTGTACATCAAAAACTCTTACAATATTATTATCAGAAAGTCTAATTAGTTAAACAGACATAACTTTATGGTGAAATAATGAGCCCTTTTACAGGCAAAATTATAATTTCTGTTACCATTCATATCACTGAAATATGATAATGACTAAACAATTCAGACAAAATAGACTTTAATTTTCTCTTCTCCACAAAAACATGTTTGTATTAATTTAACAAGGACAAAATTCAAAGAAAATGATAATATCACTGATATAGTCATAAAGTAATTGATGCAGACAGACACAATTGGGCAAGATAATACAGAATGAAGAGAACAATTTGCTTATTATTTTCTGCATCAACGATGAGCACTGAGAAAAATAAATGAAAAGATACCATCCACTAAACCTCCTGTCTTCACAGTGCATGGTTCATAACATCACTTGTTGCAATGTAAAGGTATTTTTCTTACTTTTTGAGATTATAAGACAAAACAAACTAAAAAGGTAAGCTATATAAGGAAAGAGGTTAAAAAGAAATGCCAAACCCAACCTGAAATTTAAATACAGTAATTGTGTAAACTGATGGTGTATCAGTGGGGGAAACTGCATGTTAGATTCCAAAATCTATATGGAATACTGTGGGAATCCAGGGCTTCCCTCTGGCTGCCCTGGCAGGTCTGGGACCCTGGCAGGGGTCAGGAACCACCCTGTACAGAGCCCCAAGAGACACTGTCTGTGATCTCTGTCCATGGAGAGGAGTTTTCAATCTTACAGGATGAATTACAAGCTTTGAGTGTTTGGTAAGAGTAATAATTAAGTGTGACATGGGTGCAAAAGTAAAATTTTTGGTTTCTAGATTAGGGGTTCAGAGGGGACAAGATGGAGGAATTGGGTGTATCTTGTCCTTTTCCTCCTTCTTCATGCCCTCCATGTTTCACTGTAGTGTTGGCATTTTTCTATTGGTTTAGGCAGAGGACACGCTGTTCAACATAGATGATAGATATTGGCACATTATTGTAAATATAGTAGACGTATGGTATATAATGTTTGTACCATCCCCCTGGGGGCAGAGCCCCGCACGCTGCCCTGCAGGACAGACCTGCAGCAGGGCAGCAGAACATGTTACAGATAAGCAAGAATAAACAACCTTGAAAACAGCACAGACGAATTATGGCTTCTTCTTTGGCAATGGGGCAGAAAGACAGAGACTTTCTACAATCTCGGAATCACCAATACCCACAGATTCCGACAGAATACAAACATCTGCAAAGTCTGTATATGCCATTAGGACATGATGTATAATGCTAGAAAAGTTAGTATTACACACTACACTAGAGTGTTGAATGCTTCCTTTAAAAGAAAAAAGAGTTTACCAAAAAAGCTGATCTTTAAACTTAATTCAAACCTGGTCTGTCAATGTTTATAAAGCTGTGTTTATCATCTTCAAACCACTTTGTTCCACTGGAGATGAACCAACTGAATTTTACTGGTGTAGTAGAGATGAACATTTGCAATTGCAACAAGTTTACAAAGGCCACCTTCAGAGAATTTAATGGTTTTAGAGGAGGACCAGGTTTGTTCCAGCAGGAGCATTTTTCTCTCCTTAGGAAGCCTGAGTGTGTGGCTAAAACCCAAATAAATACCTAGGAATATGAGTTTGGTTCTTACGTCAGTAATTTCTTTATACAACTAGAAAAATTGAACTGCCAGACACCTTTTAGGCAAAAGTATGTGTAAAATAGAGTAATAATTTTCTCAGTAGGAAATATAAGGACAACTTTTTTTTTTATTTGCAAGCTAATTAAAAGTGTTTCAATGAGGTAATTATTGAAATAAAACTATCATGTTAAATGGAATGCATTTATTCTTAATTAGTTTTCCAGTGTTGTAAACAGAAATACTAAATTAATGAAATTTTGTTTGCTTTCTTAACAAATTCATTAAATAACTAAAAGAAGAGATGAGTATTATTTAACCTCAATAGACCTGGAGATTATGAAAAGATATGCAGAAACCAAATAGTACACATTAATTTTTCCATATTAATACTTTTAAATTGGCAGCAACTTGTGTTCAGTTCTGTCATTTAATTTAAAAGTAATTTATTTTGCTAACCTCATTCTAATTTGAAAGAGAAACAAATAAACACCTAGTTCTTCCAAATGAATTGAAGAGTTTGAATCAATACAATTTCTTTTGTTTCTAGAGTCATTGAAGCATAAACTCGTTTGGGTTGGAAAGGACCTTAAAGACCATCTCATTTCAACCCCATCTCCCATGGGCAGGGACACCTTCCACTATCCCTGGTTGTTCAGAGTCCCATCCAAACTGTCTTTGAACACTTCCAGGGATGGCGCAGCCACAGCTTCTTTGGGAAACCTGTGCCTTTGCCAAC